GCGTGAAGCAACTCGCGGAGATAAAAATCAGTAATTAGCCCGGACCATTATGGCGTCTGTGTGAAAAATTAGCGAGTCGTGGGGTAACCGCCCCTCTGGGCATAATCCTGCATCGGCAACGGCGCGTACCAGCGTACGGTGCATCCAACCTGTCTCTGATTTATACGGGTTTGCTATTAATTATACCCATCCACCCACCCGCGCGGCGCGCGCGCCCTTTCACCCTTCCTGCCATATCGTCTTTTCGTCCCTATCTTTTTCTTCCCCGCCGCTCCTACCCGCTCGATCGTTTGTTCGTTCTCGCGCTTCTCGGTTATCGTGTATGCGCGAGTATCATTAGAGAGAGAAATGCTCCTTATATATAATTAACGTCAAACAACCGTCGCACAGCCCGGAGAGTCTCGGTCACGCGGTCCGCTTTATTATCCGCGCGATATTTTATTTTACTCTTTTGTTTTTTTTTTTTTGGAGAAGAGAAAAAAGCGCGACGCAAAATTAAACTCCGCACTCCGCATAGTCCGTAACTCCCGGGAAAAAAAGAGAGGGGAGCGCGCAAGTATGTCCGTTAAAATTCTCGATGAGACATTTTCGCGCGCGCACAGATAAATCGCGTCAAACGCCAAATACCGATTTTGCAATATAAGCGCGCCTTCTCCGGCTCAACTTCCGAGCGCGCGCGCGCGCGCTCGCGGCGAACGTTTTTATTTTGTTTTGCACGCGCCAAAGAATTCGAGCCATCGCGTCGAGCCGAAAATTCCGTCCCGGGGTTTTGCGCCGCGGTCGTTGTTCCGACTGCCGCCGCTGGCCGGACTCGACGGGCTGCGGTGCAATTAAATTAAATGCTTCGGATTAATTGTTCGAAAGCAGTTAAATTAGTTGCGTTTGTTTCGCCCGATTTTTGCGCAATCTCGCTGCGGAATGCGTGAGATGCACGCATCGGGGGAATTTCGTTTACCCACGGCCCCTCGCGCGTTATATAGCTCGGTGCCCTGCGAAATCACCGCGATGCAAACGTATCAACGCGGAACGACGATGGCGTGCCCCGAAAAATTCATTTGCAAAAGCCGCATTCGACGCGACGCGCAACGGCCCCGTCACGCCACCGCCGGTGAAGCCCGGCCCGCCGAGAGAGCCGAGAGAGCCGAGAGAGCCGAGAGAGCGCGCGCGATCAACGCGCGCGTTGTTTCGATGCACACGCGTCGTTTCGCGTTCGTGTGCTCGATTAAAAGCTCGCGCGCAGAGTCGACCCAATTATTAATGTGACACACAGCGGCCGATGAAAATTTCACAACAGTGAATTTTACGCGCGAGTCTGCATCTTTTAACGTTGCTTCAGAATCAAGCCGAACCAAGCTGCGATATTCATCAACCTCTTTCCTTCCATATCTATCTATATATATATATATATATATATATATAAATCAACATTAATTAACATTTCATCTTCGTTCTGCAATTCGAGAGCAACGCTCTTCGACGGCCGTCTCGCGCGCCGGGAGGAAGGACTTCCTCTCTCGAAGGAAGTCTCTCGGCTGCGGACAAGTCGGCAGAAAATCGAAAATGACGAGGGCCAACGAGGGGAGAAACGGAGGCGATAAGAAGGCGCGCTCCTCAACCTATCATCCATCATTCTCGTTATCATCGCGATGGCGCGAGCGATTTTCCAGCGATACCGCGACTCCCAGATCCCTCCCCCTCTATTACCGCGCATACCAGCAGCTGCTGAAGACCATCCCAATATGCCCCCCCGGACTCGATGATATTCCGCCCGCCAATCCCCGTGGAGGGTTCGTGGCCGGTATAGCAGCCCGCCGAGAGCCGTCGCTGCATCCTAGAGTGCAGCTGCAGCGCCGGCGCGGACTCTTGAGCCGCATTGCTAGGATTCTGGCGAGATGCGTCTAGGAGCGAGAGGTTGCTGACGAGCTCGCAAGTAACGCGCCGCTAGACATGGTCAGACTGGCATCCGGCCGCAAGCTCTCGACCTCATCGCAACCATACGCACGCTGGCCCCCGGAGTCCAGCCGGCTTTCGAGCTCTGCCGCCCGCCTATCCATCCGTCCGTCCGTCCATCCATCCGTCTGTCCAGCCAGCCGAATGCAGAGAGGGAGAGAGAGAGACGATATCCTGTAACACTCGCCCTCCTCGCTGCGCGTACCCTCCCGAGACCCGGCATCGGAGCGAGCAACGTCGAGACATTCGGGACACGACGGACGGACCGAGGAGAGATATGCATCATTTGGTTACCCGACTGGCCGACTAGCGCGTCTCCGATTGGCGTGCCTCCGATGCATCCCCGATCGGATCGGTCCAGGCGATCGGTATGCGAAAGGGTCCTCCAGTCAAGATTTTCAGCATAGCTGCGCGAGAACGCATGCCGCTCGGATTCGGATCCGCACGAGAGAGAGAGAGAGAGAGAGAGAGAGAGAGAGAGAGAGAGTCTGCGTGCCGATATTGTCGCTCGGCCGGGGGCCGAGCCCGCATGCAGTCGTGTGCTTCGTTACTGGAGAACGTTACGTCCGCCGCTTGGTAACCGTAAGCGCGATAGCGGCGGAAGAGTAATGGCCCGTTAATAGGAATACCGTATCGGCACACGCGCGACGCGATACCTACGTACGTCGCGTTTATCCCCTCCGGCTTTTGGGATCCGGCGCTTTCACGCACGCTGCGCTCGCGCGCCCTTTCTTTCCTCTTTCTGTCGCAGCGGCGGCGGCGAGACATCACGAGAGAGTCTCCGAGTCTCCTCGGCGTTCGCGATTTCCAGCGACTGGACTTTTGTCCAACCGGCGCGGCGACCGCGCGCGTTCGCATTGCGCGCTAAAGAGGTGCTAAGGAGGTGCTCATCGAGTTATCGCGCGTGCACGTAAGGAATTGTCTCCTTCCGCGACTTTGCTTCGTTCGGAATACTCAGGAGCGCCTCTCTCTCTCTCTCTCTCTCTCTTCCTCCGCCCTTCCACGCTGGCCCGCGTGGCCGCCGACTCTTTCCCGAGGGGACAAGGACCCCGCGCGCTCCGTAAGAGCTTCGCAAATGCTGCGGACGCATTACGATACACACGCGGACCGGTCGTTCTCGTCCGGTAGCGCGCGCATTCCCGACACCGAAATTGCATACCTTCGTTGTGCGCGCACATACGGGTCGGAAACAAACGAATAGGGTTGTTCGGGCACCGTAAAGGGTCCCCGGCGGGACGAGGTGGCGAGGAGACGCGGCAGGGTGGGCATGGGCTGGGTGACTGGGAGAGTAACGGAGGACCGGGAGTGAAGGGAGCGCGGGGGGGAGGGGCGGTGTGAAGGGAGCGAAACGCCGGTGGATGGTGGTGCCGGTGACTCGGTCGCACGAGAGAACGCCGAGGGGTTTGGGAAACGTAATCGCTCTGACCCCGCGCGCGCCTCAACCAACTGCCCCCACGCGCGTTTTCGCCCCCTCGCCCGCGCGCGCGCGCGCGCGCCCACACCCGCCGCTATTTATTGCTCGCACTCGGCCGGTTCACAACATAAATATGTTACACCTATGGCCGCACCTATATATATCGCGCCGAGTCCGCGAATTCTTCCGCTGCCGGCCGTGCGAGGAAAGAACCAACCGCCCGCGAACCGGAGGATCGGCCAAGGGGTGAAGAGCGGCCTCTTTCGTTCAGCTCTTTGGCCGTGCGCTTGTAATTCAGTGGTGGAAACAAAGAGAGAGAGAGAGAGAGAGAGAGAGAGAGAGAGATTTCAGAGTTTTTTGCCGATTAAATTAAGTTAAACGCGTTAACTCATTCTGACGCGCGATTTTACAGAGAAAAGAGTTATTTCTTTGTTCTTTTTGTATGGAATATATAAGAGGTATCTCAAAAGTAAAAGTGTCTCAAACCGTCGGAATGTCTCAAACAGATCTCGAAGTGCGGATCAGCGAAGTGGGTTTCTTCGCTGTTTCAGAGTCGTTTACGTTTTACGCTTGAAGTCGAGAATGTCTGAGTTTTAAGTGACTGCATGAGAAAAAGTAGGGATTGGATATTCTTAAAATATTCCGTCTCTGTCTCGCTGCTTTAGGGTCGCACTTGTGCGCCATATTTTATGCAAAAAATTCCTTTTTCTAAACGCTTCTGTTACTCGTCCAAGAAACGCCGCTCTGGGAGGGTGTATGAACGGAGGGTGCCTATTTGAAGGGCGGCGGAATCGAGGGTTAAGTTTCAAAGATAAAAGAAGGACCAACTGTTGAATATCGGCTCGCTTCCAGCCGCACAACCACAGAGTGCTATTATTCATCAAAAGTTTCTTGCACGCGTTATCCTATATAATACGAGATTCAAAATTATTTATATATTGTACGTTATCGCACAAATATATCGCAAACGCGATTGATTACGCGGTTGAAAATTATATTTTTCGCTCACTCGGGGGGGGGGCCGTTCTGTTTTCGCATTCCATATAATTAATGCAGCAATTAATTACATGCAGTGTAATCAACTCTTCTCCCAGTCCCAACTGTTTTCTAAACAATATTTGCTCGTCAATATTCTTTCTTCATTTAGTGATATACATTAATCGCCAATACATTAAACTGTAATTCCGTAAAAGTGATAATATAATATAGTATAATATTATAATGCAAGAAAATTACACATAATATCCAAATTAACGTTTTTACATAATAAAATCGAATTTTCAAAATGTAAGTGGACACATTAACGAGCAATATAATCAGACTGAACATCGGAGAATCAATTTAACGTAATATCTTAACAATTCAACATCAATCTTCATGATTTTTTCTCACGCGCAAAATTTTCGCTGCCATTTGTCGCAGAGGAATTTATTTAGCCTATTGTCTGTCTAGATAGTCTGCTATTTTGTTTTGAAACGACACGGATGCGAATGCACTCAACCTACTGTCATCTGCGTAAAAATGACTCCCGGACTTCAATGGTGGACAATTGCGGGGTGAAAGTAACGACACGAAACAACTGACGTTGTCTAATCCTCGTCTAATTCTACAAGCAAGTAAACAAGTTCTCTCTAACCTTGTCCGTAACTCGTCGGAATCTTCGTCTCTGCTGATGGTCGTTGAGCTTCGACAAAGACTCGGCGGACGTGAGTCTCGACAGGCTTCTCGAAGCACGATTAAGTCTGACACGTCACAGTAGTCCGGATATAACGACGTAGCCGATCGTTTGCATAAAACGCGTCGAAGGACTCGAGAAGGGGTTGGCGGGTGTGGAGGGAGGCAGGAGAGAGAGATACGCAAGGCTCAGGAACGGAGAATGAGAGAGCGAGGGTGAAGATGGCGGAGGGGGAGGATCGAGGAGGACGAGCTACAGAAAGAAGCAGCTGCGCGTGGAGGACGAGGAACGGGGCAGCAGCCTCTTCGATGCAGAAGAAAGATCGCGCTCGACTGTTCCCGGCGACGAGATGATAACGTCGTTTCGATCTCTCGCAAGCTCTCTCGCTCTCTTTCTCTCTGTCTCTCTCTTTCTCTCTCTCTCTCTCTCTCTCTCGCAAGCGCCCGTTCTCTCGCGCGCACCGGGCTCTCGCAGCTCCGCGAATGCACGTGCAACTCGGACGCGTGCCACGTGGTGTTTGGTCGGAGTGGCTCGGCCGCGAAAGCTGGAGCTGGCGCGACGAGCTTTGCAAGCTCTCGGCGCTTTCATTGGCCGATGGGTGGAAACTGCGCATGATTGCGGGTGTGTCCCGAGCTTGAGGGCGGAATAAGCTCGGGTCGGCGATAGGACACTCCGAAAGAGGGCACGTCTTCGTGGGTGGACACCGGGTGCCCCGGGTGCCACCCTCCACCCCCGCAAAGCTCGGAGCTTTTTCCTTAATCTCGTAACGAGCGCGAGAACTGCTCTCCCGTCCGAGAGCCGCACGAACTTGCGAACTGGTTTCTTCCGCGCGAACGGGCGTGCTCTCTTTCGAGGTAAATGGAATGGCGGCACACTCGGATGTTCATCGCCGCGCGGTGGAGGGAATCGCCTTCACCGCGAACGCGCGAGGATTAAACCTCAAGTAGTAACGCCGGTGTCGGGTCAGACACTTCGTGGTACGCCCGAGACGCGCCGCTCCGACCGAGTTCGATCTCCGAGCAGATTCAATTTTATCGACAAGACGGCGAAAGGAGGGGAGACAAGTGGAACGATGAAAGTTGTTATGCGTGATTATGTCACATAATAATAAAAGTTGTTCAGCACGATCTGTCGAATCTCGAAATCTTTATGCTGCATTAACGGTCTCGGAGTGCGAAGACACTTTTACATACGGTAACATTGCGGGAAAATATGGGTGCATACTTTGTTTTTTCTTCTTAATCCTCAATTAGTCGCAATATTCAATAAATTCAGGCGATATCATTTTGCCGTTGCTGTACAGCTTTCTTGATCCATTCTAACACTTATCTATTTATTCTTCACTCTTTCTTCTATATTCTAGCTGCTCTTGGTTAAGTGGCTAATGAAAGAGAAATCGTTTCAAGAAGCAGAAAGGAAACAGTGAAAAATTAAACTATATCTGCGAGATATTTCGCTCTTCTATTTATGGATGAAGAATACCGCGACTAACTGCGAGGGTTAATACCGTTTTCCTCTCGGGGACTCGAAGTAACCTCTACAATCTCCCGAAGATATCCGAGTCGATTTTTAATTTTAAAGAAACGCTGCTTTAAATATTCTACGTGCAGAATTAAAAGACAAGTCTCTGACAGCCTGCGCTTTGATAGCACAAATAAATTTTTACTCCAAAGTTCTCGCCTTTGTTCGCGTCTCGACGATGTAAAGTCCCCAGTTATACGATGCCGAGTCCCCTTGTATAATATCGAGAACCAGCTAAGGTAGTCCCCGACAAAAGTGCAAATATTGACCGCATGCGCGTGGTGCGAAATAGTTTTCTTTTTTAGCAACAGGTGGAAGGCACTTTCGAGGCATATTAGAAAAGAAAAAAAAAAGAAACAAAGAAACGGCCCGAAAAAACGGCTGATAAAAGGACGACGGGGGTGGTAGAAAGCGAGGGGAGGTAGGACAGGAAGCGCGAACGTCCGATTAATCGGAGCGACATTCCCCCGCCGACGTGCTCTCGCGATCGGTACGAGCGCGGTGCAAGCGCGATGTTCAAGCGATCGTCAACAAACGCGGACGGGCTCGTGGATATTTGACGAGGCTGTGCGAATCCGCGATAAAGCGAAAGTCTAATCACAGCTGGCCGATAAATAAATCGGGACGCGGCTAAACAGCCGCGCGCGGCGAGTCGGTCCGCCGGCGCTCGGGTTTGGGATTCGGGAGACAAGGCTGATCCTCCATCGCGTATTTACACCACGGTATGCCTCGGCTGATTGGCGCGTGCTCGTTCGTTTTACCAATTCACTCTCGTCGGCGGGCCGGTATTTGCGCTGCGACAGCCGCCTGACGCGCGATGTATTATCGATTATGGCGCGAGCGGATTTTCCGTTGACGCGCCAAGACATTCCGGCCTCGCGAGGTTCCGCGTCGCCTGGATCGAACCCGCTCTCGGGGGTCTATCCTTCTTGCAGAGTCGATCGCGGGAAAAGAGAAAAAGACAAGAGAAGAGAAGCGAGGAGAGCACGCTTTTGTGTTAGTGCAATCACGCGCGATAATCTCGAGGCCAACGTCGTGAGGTATCATATAATCACGTCGGCGACCGAGCGCGCGTCTTCTGCAATATTGACAGATGGGGGGGGGAGGGGGGGGGGGCCTCGCTCGTTTCCCGATGCGCCTTCGGCGGCCAGACGTCCGGATGTGAATGTTTAACGGTATGTCGTCTCAGCGGCCACCCAATTATACGACGTCAATTATTGATTAATTGCAATTATGACGCGAACGGTTTCGAGAGGACCCGATACGGATGTAACGATCGCCCTTTCATAAATTCGCAATGACGCGAGAGCGAGCGAGCGAGCGAGCGAGTGTGCGAGCGAGTTACACGCAGCGCCGCGCCCGGCCTGAGTGACGTGTCATTTATCGCATAACGCGAACGTTTATGCGCATTCGTGTCGCATAATTGCAATTAGAGCGGAATTCATTTACATCGACCGACATTCGATTTGTTCCGAGAGAAAGCCCGGGATTTACACGCGCTCTCGACGCGGTGGGCGCGCGCGTGCGAGAGAGCGGGCGAGCGAGCGAGCGCGTTTGTGTTAGTCGTGTCGGGATTTATTTCCGCGCACGTCAATGCTGCCGCGACAGTTCCGCGATGTAAATAGGATTGGATTAGCCGTTACCGTCCGCTCGCGAGAGCGAGGGACGGAGAAGGAGGGAGGGAGGGAGGGAAACGCAGGAGACGATCCGATCTCTCGTTACGCGGTAACGACGGAAGATAAACCGCCGAATGTCGCGATAGGAAGCGTCCGTCAAGAAACACGATTCGATCCCGCGCGACGTCTCGTGTAAGACGAAGCATCATCCGCTGCGAAAAAGATCGCCCACCGTCGACGTCGCGTCGTACACGCCAAAATACGAGTATATCGACGTATACGCGCCCGCGGGTATACCGGGACGTGGAGGATGATTTTTACACTCGCCCGCCATCAACGCATTCACTGCCAAGCACATTTTGGCAGACTTTCCGCCCACGCCGCTCAGATTGTTTTTATATTTAATAGAATAATAGAGTAGAATAATAGAATAGCGAATTGAATTACACAAAAGTGTAATATACACATAACAAATATGATAACATATTTATTTGCCTATTCTCTACGACGTACCAGAGTGACCGTCGCGCGACGTAAACAGAAGAAAGTCGTGACTTTCGAAAACTCAGCGGTGACCGTTATAGCTTGTGAACGCGATTTTCGCCGGAAATCAGGTCGGCGGTGTGCATTTCGTGTAAAACCACATCGAGCGCACGATACTTTAGGACCGAACGAATAATCTTTCACGCCTTTCAACACCTTTTTCAGCCAATTTCGGACAGAATGAGGCGGCGAGACGACGGCCGATGGGGCCAAGATGAGAGCCTGGAGCGTTTACCGCAGCGTCGCATTTTCCAATTACGTCGGTCCTCCGGACTACAACCAGATGGCCGGCAGCGCGTGAGCCGAAATTTTTTAGCGATTTTGGTGAAAAGCCGCTGGCATTTTAGCGGCGCGCGAGTCGGGATTAAGAGACAATGCTGGCGATCCAATTTAATCGAGCGATCGACGGCTAAACAGACACCGTTCGCATGCTCCCCGCCCGCGCTCTCCCGCAACCCCTCGTGACCGTTCTTTTAGGACAAATCGTCTGTGGCGCGCGACGCTTTCCCCCGTGCAGAACGCCCGGCGGAAAATATAATTCAGAGATATTTATAGCTGGATTACCGGCGGAATTGGGTATCTAATATACATGACCGAGCTGGCAAGTCGGCCGAGCTTTAATTGACCCGACGAAGAGCCGGCTTTCCGAGGATATCGCGCGCGGCGCGCGGCGCGCATCGAGCGGGCGGCCGCGAATTCCCGCGGACGACGGCCCGGTGAATGACGATGACGCGCGTTTGACTGTCGCGCGGGGGATGAATGTCGGATGTGATTTTACATCGCGGAGCCGCGATGATCGCGCCCGGCCAGCGAGGACTGGACAAGAATTTCTCGGCGGCTCTGGGGAAGGATTAGCCGCAATTGATAGCCACGAGAATGGAGGGACGTTCCCGAATTTGTCGTGCAGTTAGCCGCTCAAAGGCCGGCCGCGGCGCGTTTAACTGCGATACCGCGCGTCGGCCTTTAAATTAATATCTCCGGTCGAATATCTCGCCAACGAACGAACCCCGGCGATCTACGCGCGATCTGCGTTCATCCGAAGCTCGCCGATGTGGCGATTAAATGGAACGCGATTTCCCGGGTCTAAAGCCGCCACCCCCCCCCTCCCCCGCCCAAAGGCAAGATCTTGCAAAGTTGCCGGACAACTCGAGTCTTGAGCAACGCAACGGCGCGGCAGAGCGCAGCATCTCGCTCCGACGAGCTCACCGATGGCGCCAGCGGGCAAATTAGCCGAGCTCGAATCAGCGACGGTGGAATAATATCGAGAAAGTGTAAGACCGTCTCGGATTAGGTAGCTCCTGAATGCGCGCCATCCCCGGTGCTGCCTCCCTCGGCTCTACCCTTTCGGCGCGAGCGCGAACACCACCGGTCTCCGCGACCGGTAGGAAGGCAGAAACGACGGCAGAATCGCAGAACGTGCCGAATGCGAAATTAATTGGAGCCAGCCGGTGCGGCGTGCGGCCTCACCGCGGACGCGCAGGGTAATTTTGATCCGGATCCGGAGTTAGTGCCGGGACAGTGTTCGGTGTCCAGTGTCCGCCGCCGCCGCCGCCGCCGCCGCCGCCGCCGCCGGACGGACAGCGCGGCGCGGTTAGTGCCGGGCCAGATGTCGCCATGGGCGTGACGTCACCGGTTAACTACCCTCTCGTGGCCGACACTACCACACGCGCATATACGCGCGCGCGCACGCACGCACGCAGCCGAGCACCCACACGCGCGCTCTCGCGTGCACCCAGTCAGCCTTCGCCTTCGCCACTCGCCCGACGGACACGATATGCGGGGATGATTCTGATTAATTACCGATAGTTACACAAGCTGACGCCGCTCTCCGTTGACAACCCTCCACGATATC